TTAGCGCAGAGGCCTCTCAGCCAGCTACCAATCAATACCCTCTGCGGGCTTTAACAAAAAACTCATGGTAATAAAATTAAAAACCTCCGCAACTGTGAAAACTCAGCCCAAGTAAACATATTCCACGCTTTTTTCTCTACAGCTTAGCGGTACAAACCTAAACATGGGAGCCATTCAATTTTTGACTTTGAGAATACTTGGCATTGGCCAAGGCTTATTACTGTAGCAAGCCGCTATGACTAAAAGCTATTTCCATCATACCAATTGAAATTACATATTAGATTCAGACATCTTACACGTAAGGAATTGCTTAATCAATATTTCATTTAATATTGATTAATTAAAATGTTTATTGAATGAAATAAATGATCTTTCAAATATCGCCACAACAGAAATTAATTGAACTAAAACTCAGGTTTGATCATTGAAGCCGAAAATCGATTCAGTTCATGCAGAAATGGTTCCAATTAAGGAAAATTGGTGTTATGTTATGGATTAATATGAGTCCAAAAGAAGAACCAACGTAGAATTCTACAATCAGCATTTCTATAATTTATTTATAATGATTATAATTAATTTGAAAAATCACTTTTCGAAACGTGATGGCATTAGCTATACCGGCTTGTTCAATTACGTCATTATTACGGTGGACCTTTCGAATACTACATAAGCGTGCTACACTTCTTGACCTGTTTCTTCAGTATTCACGTGACTCCTTTGAGTATGTCGACTGAGGAAGTTATTGATACCCCTTTAGAAGGTAAATTCTATTGCCTGTATGACACTTTAAGGCTCTTCTTACTTACGTCACTTTAATTATGATTATTCAAAGCTGGATGAGCTTCCGCTAACCAAATGCGAAGCGTTATTGGTTTGTTTCCGTTTTAATCTTATTTGTAAGACGCCTGCAGGGAGCTTCTATAGAACTACATCAAGGCGGGACGTCTTCCCTCTCTTAGTGAATAAAAACGTAGGCATAATTTAGCGTTTATTGTTTTAGCCTATTTCTCCTAAATTTCCATGTATTTTGGAAGAAGTACAAAACATTATTGACAACTATGAAGATTTATTCTATAATCTCCGCGAAGTAAAAATGGAATCTGTTAGAGAGTTATATTGTGCTCATGTTCTTAATCATTCCTTGAAGTATGGGGCAATTTTCCATTTAATCTTTATATAGGTCGAGAAAATTAATGATCAAGAATAATGCACGTGCGGAGAAGTCTGGCCTCGATGAGTGAGTTTGATTTGCTATTTTTTATAATGGTCATTGTGTCTAGTTCTCTTCGAGATCAGGGCTTCCATCGGGCAAAAGTGCTGATTGTTTTGCCAACGCGTGAAGCAGCGAGACGTACCGTTCACCAGTTCTTGCGTTTGATGCCTAAAGGTTCAACTGTCAGCCGCAGGAGACGTTTCGAAGAAGATTTTGGATCTAAATCTGATCAAAACAGCCATATAAATAGAAAATGCAAAAAGCCTCCGGACTACGAAGAGTGGTTTTCTTGTACGCTTTGTTTCGCCATATTTTTCTTTCAATCAATGCTTCTCATTTCTTTTGGTTGATTATTCATTTTAATCTTAGGCAACACCGATGATCGTTTTCGCATTGGTATTGCAGTTGCAAAGAAATCGATCAAACTCTACTCCGCCTTCTCCGAATCGGATATTGTGATTTCTTCACCTTTGGGTTTGGAAACTCTAATGGCGGAAAAAGAGTAAGATCTTAGTTTTTTTCGTTCATCTGTCTTCCTTTATAATGTGTCCGACTAACTTTCTACAATTCGGATTTTCCATTGTTAGGAACTGGTAGACGAATGTTACTCTTGTTAGCTTCTAACTGAGATTAGTTACTCATTCAGAAAGGAAAAATTAATGATTCCGAGGTAGAAAATATGGTGGTGTTTTTCAACGGTTGTACTTTGAGCTTGGAATCATTTAGTAACTACCTCGCCATTGCGTCAGTAATCCTTGTCATTAACATTCCGACTGGTTCACTAGTTTTGTAGGGTTGCTGAAGCAGTGCGGTTCCCCCCAGGGGATTATGAAATCTATTCGGAGATTGGCAGAGATTCATCAGTATCACTGAATTTTTACGTTTAGTTCCTTTAACTATTTGACGTTATTTTATTAAGTGAAGGTTTCA